TGTTCTGTCGAACTGCCTGTCGAACCGATACACCTGTTCTGTCGAACTGCCTGTCGAACCGCCTATCTGTTCTATCAAACCGCTATTAGTTTAACTACAAAGAAAATCATATTCTTTCGCGACCTTCATTAGTTAGATATATTATACGCATCAAAGATAAAAATAAACGTGTCAGCATTCGCCGCATCTCAATGTCATGGTAATGTTACGAAGACACATAGTATGAAACCATCATCAAACCGCCTATCAAACCGATACCCCTGTTCTATTGAACCAATACCGCTGATCTGTCGAACCGATACCGCTGATCTGTCGAACCGATACACTTGTTCTGTCAAACTGGCTGTCTGTCCAATCGAACCACCTGTCGAACCGATACACCTATTCTATTGCTTTTGTTCCTAACTGCATAGAAATGTTTTTTCATTCGCAACCATCGCCAGGTAGAAATTTGATCCGCGTCAAAGATGAACGTGTCTCGCACACATCTCGATATGTAGTAATGCCATATACATGTACGATCTTAACTACAAGGAAAGGGAAAGAAACATAATTTTAAAATTTTCACATTTTATTGATTACAATATTATACATTTTATTGTTTTAATGATGGTGTGATCACCAGTTATATATTTTAAATACATTTTGTAATGCGCAATTTTTAATATGTTTTCCACAGCGTATTAATAATACTTAGATTATTCAAAGAAACTACATCTTTGTAATCGGCATCCAGAGTTTCAATGACTACATCGTCTCTCGCATCGAGCATATTACCGAGCCATTTTCGTTTTTGATGTCCTTTAACGTACACGATAGCCTCGTCGGTATCATTCCCTTTACTAAACACAGCTGTTGCAATCAGGCGTTTCGCCATGCAGTACGGAATCATCCCGTCTTCCCATCTCAATCCATGGTGATAAGCAATCAACCAGGAAGCGCCAGATTTGTCGAATTTTGTAAAGAATTCCATGGCATGGGACTCGCAAAAATGTAATGCGAAAGAACTATACCTTTTCTCAGGACCGCCACTTCTTTCACGATAAATCTCTTCCCAACGGTGAATCCTTGCAGATCTACAAACGTTGGTACAATCATGACGAGTAATCTATCGAAACTGTGTCCTCCTCGCGAATTGTCGCAGTTTTATCTCGAATAATGAGAATATTTGCAGACGTGACAATTTATGTGATTTTGCGCATAACGTTGGACAGTGGGCAATATTCAATCACGCGATCGTGTAAGATGAGACAATAGGTTGTAGTTTTCTCCGGCACATTTTCTTTACAGTCAAATTCTATTCGCACATCCACGGTAGCGCTCTTGACGGACTCGTTTTGTCGCGGGCAGTCAATGACTACAAAAGGTCCATTTTCCAAAAATGAACCTATGGTTAACAGCGTTTCATCGTTTGTACATCCGTAATAAGTTTTACGAAAACGAGCATATATCAAACAGGATGGCGCATCTGTTTTTATCAAAGTCTAGATTTATGTCGACGTACGGATAAAATTCCAAATTTAAATAAAGTTTCACATTGGT